GTAGAATCTTAAATAAGAGAGATTTGTGGTAGACTTAGTGAAGATTTTTGTTGAGGCTCAGCTTGACATTGGAAGCATTTTGCTCCATTTTTCACATTTTTGATAAGCAGAGTGGCATGTTTCTCATGACACAGTGGTGAGTTTCCAATTAAGGGAGATCATTGCTTGTTAAATGCTTTGTTGATCGCCCAACTCAGCTCATTTATGTTCAGTTTGCTTCCTTACTGAACTCGCCAAACAAGCTAGGCATCAAGAAAACTCAACTTGGAAACCAGAATGGTACCTGGCAACTTCAGCTTGTGGCTTGTTCCGGATAACATCTATGTTGTGTTCTATCGAATTGTTGCTCAGGGCAGGATCCATGGGTATCAGCTGTATGCACACCTTGCCCATGATACTGGCATTAACTATGACCATTACGGCACCCCTATGAAATGCTTGTTTGCTCCTTAAATGGACAGACCCACATTGTGCACCAGCAATTAACTTTGAAAGGCTGCAGCAAGGACACTTCACAAAAAGGGAGAGGCGGTCAGCTTATGGATTGGACCAGGCTGCAATGCAAGATGCCTGTGGCAAACACACTATATGTTCACACAGACAAGCGGCGACGTTAGAAACTGGTCATTTCCAAGTCCAGTCGAGAAGTGGGCTGCTTTCCAGGTAGACAGGGGCACACAGTACACACACAGTCCATGGGCTTTTCTATAGTCAGTCGCTCACTTGGGATGGTCATAGTCAGGGAATCTGTCCATCTTTGCCTTTTTAGAAAGGCAGCTACAGTGATTAACATGCTAGTAGTGACAGAATGCAGAATTCACAATGAAAATGACCTAAAATGGGAATAGAAGGAGGAAAAGGAGCTTTCACATCTCACAACAACCACTGGTGGTTTACCCTGCAGCACACTTCTCCACACAGTGAGACATGCTGCATTCTGACAATAAGGGACCTGTCTACATTATCCATTCACATTGAGGGTCAGCATGGGCTGCAACTTGGCAACTATCCATTACATCAAGAATGCACCACTCCAACACCCAACCCATCCCAGACCCCATCAAATGTTCAATAAAAACCAAAAGAACTGTGGTTGCTGTAAAACAGGAACATAAACAAAGTTGCTGGAAAATCTCAGCAGGTCTGGCAGCATCTGTTAAGGAGAAAACAGAGTTAACGTTTCGGGTC